CTCCTGATCTAGTTGGAATTTATCAGTCCTGGGTCAGTGTTATCAGGAGCAAGGTTGCCTGGTAACACTGGAATGCTTCATCTTTTTCCATTTGCAGGAAACCCAAAGTAGGAATTTATCAGAGTGCCAGAGTCTCCTGCAGCAGGGTCAGGGCTTTGTCAGGGTGTTGTCCAGATCCCAGTTTCTCCGTTTCTACTATCCTCCATAAAGAGAAAGCACCTGCATCTCTTAGCAGAACTTATACCCTGACATTCATACTCATCCCCAAACACACACCCCTTCTGACACACATTTTACTGGACATCAGGGGGCGCGTCATAAAACACTGTGGCATGTTATTGCTTTGTTCAATTCCTTCTCTTTCCCATTATCCTTTGAGTAAAGCTTCAAGTTGTTAACACAATTTGTACTCTTCTCTCCTCTGCTTTGTCACACAAGATTTCTCTCCAGTCCTCATCTGTTCTTCAAACACAATCATACCACCCCATCCCTTTCCCCAAGTCTCCTGTGCACAAAATGCTCTCTGATGTCTGAGTCTTATTGTCCTCACCTAGTCATGTGTCCTGTTCCTATTAAGTGTGGTGGTGTGTTTGTGATGTTCAGGCGAGTTCATGTGAATAAAGCATATTGTGTTCATGTGATTGTTGTCCAGATAGGACAGTGTGGGGAAGGCTTCCTTCACCACCAATTTATTTCAGCTTCCCTTGTGTGCCTCCCACTGAACCAGTGCTCGACTTCTGACCATGCACCTCTGCACTCTTCTGTCAGCATCCACTATTTAAGCTCCACTATTAGTTCTAAGGGATCAGGTACCCATCCGGTTTTACTGTCACCAAATCTGCACTGCTGAGAATCAGTAGGTTCTAGACACATACTTACTGAGTAAACCAGGAAACAAATGGTTAACTAGTTTCAACTGTACATAATTTGGAAGAATTTCCACATGGAAGTATTCAGTGAGAAATTACATCACCAGGAATGATTGACGTTGAGGGAGCATTTTGAGAAAAGTTGTCCTAAAGATGAAAGTGCAGAGAGTGAGATTACTACAGGGTAAGAAATAGGCAGCCCAGGCCATTGAGGCCATTCCCAGGCCACTCTGCAATGCCCTGGTCAGCAATGGCAGATGAACAAGAGAAATAAAGTGATTATGAAGACTGTGAGAAAAGATGTAGGTTGCAAGGGTGCCTGAGGCTCAGGAAGGGAAGCTTTTTGGGCTTCTCAGGGAAAAGGAGCTACAACTTTCTGCTAAACATGGTGGTCACGTAGAACAAGAACTTCAACTGCTTATGACTTGGACAACTAGTGATAATTAGTAACCTTAGGTAGAGTCAATGATATGGGATTGCTGGAGACAGCACTTTTCCACAGGTTTAAGACTCTGAGAGAACTGCAAGCATACAAGACAGAGATCATGGCATCAAAGAGGTAAAAAGCACGGAAGGGCTTGCATGTTTTTGGTGGCTGGAAATGCAGGGCCTTGCATGAAATGAGCATGCAATAGGTATTTTCTCATTTAGTCATTTTTAGGTCCCATTCACATGACAGGACATGTATGCTAAGCTAAATAAGGGAGAAGTTTTTGTGTGATAGTAGATATTTCTAAATAAACTGAGAAATATGGTAACTTTAACAATGCATGTTGTGACTTGAGGAATCCTAATGGCCAGAGTCTCTTAATCATGCCCCTTTGTGCTTGAGCAGATCCACTGTAAGCTTCCCCATAGACGTGCACTGTTAAGCCATAACCATTACGAATACTCCTGAGATGGGTGGGATTGGCTGGGTGACTTAGCAGCTCAGTGCTACATCTAAAAAGAAAGACTGCTTCATGCTAACAGAACAGAAAGGGGAAATTACTCATGCCATACAAAATTCAAGACTACTCACATATCTGAATAAATTGCCTATGCATGTGTATAATAATGGCTATCTAATATATGGATATGACACTTAACATGCCAGGTATGACCTTAAGTATTTGATGTGCATCAATTCATTGACTCACAATAATCCTACAAAATGAGTATTATTATTATATTACAAATGAGAAATGGAGGTTAGTAAACTTTGTGAGGCCACGGGAGTACACCCACAGAATGTGGCTTAGCCTGTAGCCTTATCTTGTGCATTACATTGATGCTTATATTTATAAGTTTAAACCCATTTAAGTAAATGTTTATGAAAGACACGGGAACTTGGGGTCTCCTTATGAGCTGGTTTACTATGTTTTGTGCTAACATGCAGTAATGAAATTGTTACAGGTTGGTTGAAACATATTAGATAATGCCATCTTTTGTACTTTCTATTCAAAGAATACTTCAGACCTAAAAGGACTTCATTGCTATAATATCCAAAGCCCAATATAATTCCTTACATAAAGCAATTATCAGAAAATAGAGGAAAAGGAACTAAAACCACATTATTTTGACTAGCTGCATGCAAGTAATCACAATTTGAAGCTAAGTGTAAACCTTCCAGTGACATTTCAAATGTGTTGGAGTTGATTTTCATTAATCACAAATTTTGTGTTTGCCAATTCACCTACGTGTTAAAATTCATCTGCAACCCTGCAATCCATATCCACTGAGCTCAGAAAACAACTGAGGTGCCTGAGATTCATGTGCCTAACTAAGGTCAGAGAAGGTCAGGCTCTGCCTTACCATTTGAGTTCGCATGCTGTGGACAGTGTTTTCTTCAAGGAATATGTAGTGACATTTATTCTTTTTCTGCATTTCTGTGCTTTTCGTGGGTAATCTGGATATTTCAGGTGCCCCCCAGGCTTAGAGTGGAAGATATGACCAGTGTTCCTGAGTGCAAGAGGCTGTGATGCATTTCTGGAGAAAACATGTGTGAAATAATACTTTGTTCAGGTATGGCTTTCTAGTGCTGTTGGACATCAGTTGAATGTGGATGAATCAATCGTATTAAGATGTCTTTAAACACAAACATAAACAAAGCAAGGCTGTCTACGGATCAGTTGGTGAGATTACGATGACCAAAGCCAGGAAGCTGACCTCATTATTGCCCTTAAGAATGATGAGTCAGTGTTTGCTAACTCAGTGCTAAGGGTGACTTCTTAGTACACAGTTAACACAAGTAACAAGAATCAACTGTATCTAGGACTTTTCTTACTGAGGAGTACTAGAGAGGAAATCCATGCCGAGGTACATTTGAGGCAGCGTTGCTAGCTGTAATGACGATGACAAAGAGCATTAGATGTGTGAAAGCATCTCTTCCTCCCGGAACTAACCATCTTGAAGCACTGGACTCAGCAGGACATAAGGATGTGTGCACAGGCCGCGGTGACAATCTGTGGCGCAAAGGAAGGCTCTGAGTGTGGTCTGTGCGGGTTGACTTACGTGGTTCATGTGAAATAGGAGAAGGTAGATGAAGCAAATATCATTACTGTAAACAATATTTTGGAGACTCATATCATCCTAACCCCACATTTACCAAGGGCATTATTTGAGTATCGAGACGAATTTTAAGAATTATAACATAAAATGTTTTCAAGGGAAGTTATTAAGGCTCATTTCCCTTACAAACTTGAAACATGTTTGGAGATCTTTGATAACCTGTTTCTAACAAAATTTAAAATATAAAATTAAATGAATATAAGACTGCCTAGAGTTAGCTGCTAAAATGTAAAAAAAAAAACAGACTAAGGGTTAGTCTAGCTGATGTGTAAGAATCATGTTTTATACAGGAGTGAAGCTCTGGGTGACCATGGCAAGAACTACATGGATTGCATGATTTTTATCAGCTGTCATCAATTTCCCACTATACCTTCCGGCTCGTATATCAGAATTTCCTTCTCCTTTCAAATAAATGACAACCAGGTCCTATACCAGAATTGAATTTTCTAAAGCACTTCCACACCAAGAGTTCTAATATATCCAGCAGTTCCACCTTTCATTGTAAATCCAGTGAGTGATGTTCTGCTTTTATACACTGTTATTTCCCTACTTTGTTTCCTGGAAGTCCATTCTCCTAGGGACACGGGCAACTATGTGTGGACAGATAACACGGGGAATATGTTATCTCCTCTGAACTCCTCTAACAGGAAGAGAGACTTTTTCTTCAGTTTCATTTCCTCCCCAAAGGTGGAGATAAAGGAAGATTCATGGAGGGAAATATGTATAATTTAACCTGAAAGATGGTTGGGTAAGTAGGTATACAGACACCAGGGGTGTCAGATCGCAGAGATAGATGACTTCACAGCTTCCCATTAAGTAGGACATACATTTTGTTTTTTCCCCAATAATATAATGGTCTATGCACCATCATAATCATGTTGGAGAAATAGAATTATAGTCCTTAATGTGGTTCCATGTCCAGTGCACTTCAGTAATAACGAAAACCTGGAAGGAGCCTCTCTTCACTTACAGTCAGCTCTGCATTATAAAGTGTTTCAGCACTAACATGGAAGAATAATCCCCAGGTCCTTCTCTGCTGGTGCCCTGGTCTCCCACTTCTGGGACTTTTATTTCTGCTGCTACTTTGATGCCCACCCTCTGTCTGCCCCACTCTTTGTCTGGACAGTTTATTACTTTCAGCAACCTCTTGTATGGTTCTAGAACTATCATGAAAATGATGAGTACATCCATTGTGATTCCATAGTTAAATTTAGAATGCAGTCTTCCTGGTCCTTTTTCGTGCTTGTAAGTGATACTTTCTACAGCAGTGTTTAGGAGTAAAGTAATGAAATCATGATTAAGTGTTCACTTGCAGCGAAGCCCTTTACTTCTATAAAGGATCACAGCACTAGGTACTTAGACTCAACGATCTTTACTGAAAGCATACTATGCACTTTTGCTATGCCTAAATCAAGATTTCAAAGAAACAAAGGTTGTAACCAACCTAATAGTACACTGCATTTAGGCCTACTGGTATATTATTGATTTTTGTTGGTCTTTTTAAAAGCAACTGTAAAAGGGCTAAACAGAGTAGGAAAAGCAAAGGAAAGAAATTATAGGCAGGTAGAGAAGAGTTCCCACCTCCACACACCACGCCCTCGAGATCCTCACAGCGGCGATCGTCACACTCGCAGGTCTTGCCGTATACCCTGTGGTCCCCGGGTGGGTAGCAGGTGCACTTACCACATTCACATTTGCCTGAAGAGGGCCAAGAGAAAGCACACCGGTTAGGAAAGTCACAGTCTCAGAAAGGCATTCTGAGAACAAGCATAGGATTAAACGGAATCTCCTGAAGAGTGCTCAGCTATGCTCTGTAACAGTACAGCAAATACTTTATCTAACCTGACCAAGGAGGCCATCAGGCGGTTGACAGTGGCCAGCTCAGAAGGGATTCACACTGGCTAATTCTACCCTCGTTTTACTCAACTTTGAAAACACCATTGTGAAACTCTCATACTCAACTTAGTTTGATGGCATCATTTGAAATAATTAGTGTATACATTTTGGCATGATTTCACAAAATGTTGTCTTTTTAAAAATCTTTTCTCTTTGGGTTGATGTGCCAGATGAAAAAATATTTATAGATAAACTTCAGTGTGACCTTTTAGGGATTATCTGTAGTAATTTTATAGTTTATAGAATTCACTTTAGTGTGGAACACATGTCAAAGCACATGAATCTCCCCCCAAAAAGTTATAATTTTCAGTTTAAAATCTAAAAATACAGACTTTGTTGGAATGTGTTTGGATCACAGTTAGCCAGTCCCTTAACTAGTAGTATTATGATGATTTTCATTATTTTTTCTTGAGCTGTAGCTACATACCCAACACTACAGTTCTTTGCATTACATCATTTCGTTTTCCATATACTCCTACACTTACTAACGTTACTGCTCTCATTTTACTAAGCAGGAAACAGACATATTGAGGTGGAGCTGCTGTTCACAGAGAACAGCTAGGAGTAGAATAAAAATTCAATCCAGTGTCATTCACCTGAAAGCTGCTGCACCCACCCATGAAGTCCCATCTCATCTTCACACACTCACAACTCTGCGTCAGGAGGCTACATGAAAAAGAAAATTCCTTTTGCCTGAGGAACTGTACTGGTTCACCAGAAACTCAGCTGGGTGCCGGTGCTCCCAGGCATCTGTGACTCTCCTTCATTAGCCTAACCATCATAATCACACACTCATTGAAGCGATCCTAAGATGCTTCCGGCTGACCCTGCAACACTGCTCGTCATCCCATTGCTGCACTTGTATCTTGTTAAAGAAATTCTGAGTGGGTAGATGAAGGGGGAAAGCGAAATTAGTATTTGCAATCATGTAATTTCAGAGCTGTCATTAGAGGTAATCTAATGCAGTGATTCACAATCTTCTTGGCAGAAGTGGCGGGCTCGGCGTCCCTTTGAGAATCTGACGAAGGATGAGGCCCTGGATAAGGTTGTTCTGCTTTCCCCTCAGTGAATTCCTTTCAGTTTGGAGCTACAGTACTGAAGGTAAGCAGGAAGAAGGGGCTGCTCCCCCCAAAAGACTTCTCTCTTCCTCTCTGTTGGCCCAAATTGGACAGAGCGACAGCCCTGGGCAGGGACTGGTTGCTGAGGGTGAAAGCACAGGGACAGGCTGTGTAGACAAGCAGCCAGTGCCTCAGCACTGCATTTGCACAGCGGCTGTGCTCAGCCACAGCACAGCTCTGCGAAAGGACAGCAGGGAGGACAGGTGTGTGGCAGCCCCGTTACCCCTGCTGCGGTAGGGCTGCTCATCCAGACCCGCACTGTGACCCTGCGTCCTCCCACCAAAGTCCTGCTCCTCCCAGTTAACTTGCAATCAAGAACCTCAGCTTGGGGCAGAGAGGGTAAAAGGTTTGGAGGTATTTGCCGCAAGCTGCATTTCAGTCAGCCAGGAGGCGTGAGCTCAAGAAATCCATTGCACACCAAGTGACTGTAGTTAATAATGATTATTAACTACTATTTTGAAAATTGCTAAGAGAATAGATTTTAACTGGTCTTACTGCAAACATTAAGTATGTGAGGTACTATGTATGTTAATTAGCTTTTTGTAGCTATTCCATAATCATCCATATTTCAAATAATACATTGCACAAAATAAATACATGCAATTTTTTGCCAATTTAAATAATATAATTTTTAACAAAAATCTATAAAGGGTAGAATTCAGATCTATTCCTGGAAAAGTATGTCAGTACTGTTTTTCTCTTTCTTTCTTTCTTTCTTTCTTTCTTTTTCTTTCTTTCTTTCTTCCTTCCTCCCTCCCTCCCTCCCTTCCTTCCTTCCTTCCTTCCTTCCTTCCATCCCTTCCCCACTGCCTTTCTTTGTAAAACATCAGGAGGATCCATCACTTCTTCCCTCTATTTATGTAATACTGTGTAAAAGGTGAGGAAATTCAAGCATGGTGGAGCTAAATGATTTACCTGCAGTCACCTAACTAAATACCAGTTAGCACTGGTGTTAGAATCCAGATTTCTCAATGCACAAGTACTCTAACCATCTTTATGGGTGGGTGTTTGAATGGACCCAGTAATGCCGACCGCAGAGAGAAACAGACCGGGCCGTGTGGAGGTTCACTGTTCCTCATGCACAGCTCCGGGAAACCACTGCTACCAATCACATTACTCCTAAGGTGTAACACATTCTTAATTCCAATCACATTACTCTTAAGGTGTAACATTTTTAACTCCAAACATTGCCTTTCCTACTGGATTCTAGTTCACATACCTTTTTCAAATATACATTATGGATAAGAAGAAGAAGTAATTAGCCATTTTGCAATTCTTTTTTGCCATGTATCTATGGGAATATTTTCTTAAATTTTTTTATTTTAAAAATTAAAAAACTGACAAAACAACAATGAAGATTAAATCAAAACAACACAAAAGCAACAAAAATGATACAAGGCCACAAGACCAAATGTTGCTGTATTACGTACTGTTATCTTCAATGAAGTTGCTTAGTCCATTAGGCCATAAGAATGTAAGACTGACCAAGTAATCAAAGACAGTAACAAGTAAAAACTAAAAAAAGAAAAATAATTAAAAAAATATTGGAAATGGTGCAGAGCTTCACCATACAAAATGGTAGGAGTTCAACAATGGTTTTTATACTGCATTTTGTTTTCAGATCAGTCATTCTACTTACCAAATTCGAGCTTGTAAAACTGGTCAAGAAAAAAGAAAATTTAAAGCATTGACTGTTCCTCTCAATAAACTACAGACATCAGCAGTACACCTGCTCCAGCTACCCTTATATATACATGTAAATTCTGTTTTTCATTAAAAAAAATTAAAAAAACAAACACATAAAACAACATAGAGAACAATAAAAATAATGCAGAATTTCAAAACATGGTGATAGGATATTAACAATGGTTGTTATACTACACAATGTCATCTTCAAAATGGTTGCGCATATAACCAGATATAGGTATGCAAGATTGATCTAGCAATTACACATAAACAGTTTCTTTCAATAAACCAACAGATAGTAGTAGTACAATTATCCTAGCTATCCTGTGTACATATATAGAGATATTTTTCCCTCTTCCTTCTTTCTTTTTCCTCTCCCTTCCTTCATCCCAGTTGCTCCTTCGTATTGGAGCAGTTTCTTTTCCCTTTCACAATATCTATTGTACCTTTCTGATTTTATTTACTCTTTCGGGTTCATATAATAGGAAGGAAATACAGTGTTTACACATGTAAATCTGATTTATTTCACTATTGAGTGTGGTCTCTAGCTGCATCCATTTACCTATAAAAGCCTCTAGTTTATCTTTATAGCTGAGTAATACTCCATTGTATACAAATACCACATCTTTTTATCTGCTTCTCCGTTGATGGACATTTGGGTTGTTTCCAAGATTTAGCTATGACATATTGCACTGCTATAAACATAGGTGTACATATATCTCTGTGGTATGACGTTTTCAGTTCTTCTGGAAAAATATCCAGGAGGGGAATAGCTGGGTTGAATGGGACCTCCAATCCTAGTTCACTGAGGAATGTCCACACTGATTTCCACAGAGGCTGCACCAGTCTACCCTCCCACCAACAGCGGAGAAGAGTTCCTTTTGGAATTTATTTTTTAAAGGACATATTGAAGCAGGTATTAACTTTATACCTGTAATTCTATTGTACTTTATAAGATATAGTGTTTTCTAACAGAGAGGCAAACATAATTTCTGGAAAGGCTAATTTATTGTAAATAGGTAAATAAGAATAAATTCCTCATGCAACCCACATCTTAAAGCATATTATTCTTCTGTATTAAATCATACCTTCTGTCATCACCAAAAGTAAGTACCAACTTTAGTTCAGACACTGTTATATACCTTCCAAGTAAATCTCCAATTATTCTTCAAGATCCCATGTAAATTTCACTAAATCTATGACATGTGCATCCTCTTATGCACTTTCACAGATATAGCAAAATTAAAAGCACTTCTTATGTGTTCTCATAATTCTGGATCAACATTTACTGAATGAATGCATTAATAATAATTTCTGAATAGTTTGCTAATGCACAAATGTGAGTTTAAATGGCAGGGCTTGAATTAGAAATAGGATGTTAAAATAGAATAGCACAGGGGCTGGGGATTTAGCTCAGCGGCAAAAGCGCCTTCCCGGCAAGTGCAAGGTCGTGAGTTCGGTTCCCGGTACCGGAGAAAAAAAACCAAAACCAAAACCAAAAAAAAAAAAATAGAATAGCACTTCCAATTGCTTGAATACCTTTGTTCATGTTTTCCACAGTTAGAGCAACTAAATATGTCCCACATCGAATTTACCATCTTTACTGACAATCTTATTCCTTTTTCCTGGGTCCTTTATTTACAAGAATGTCACCATCACCTAGTCTGTCATTGAATCTAAGAAGCAGATGATATGTTTGATATTTTTCTTCTTTTACTTCATGATTCTCTTTTTGTTTTGAAATTTAACACAATTCACTTTCTTAAGACATATTTATGATTAATTTCCTTACATAAATCCTCCCGATGGCCCCATGTGACAATCGAGACAAAATTATACTTTTTTGCATACTTAATTTAGTGTAGTTTTCTGAGCATGAGTCTGATTGCCATTTTACATTACTGTGGGAGACATGGCTCAGGGGCCATGCTCCTTTTGTCTGTCGCCCATTCTACCCCATGTTCAAAGGCCAACTCCAATCTAATCTCCTCTGAGAAA